ATCAGCCTCGGCGAGGTGCAGACCGAAGGCGGCCGCCGCAGCACCCGGTGAGCGGGCGGGGAGAGCCTCCAGGCTCAGGGGCAGGCTACCTGCGCGGGGGGGAGGGGAGCGGGCCAGGGTGGCTAACTCACTCACTGCTTCCGCCAGGATTGGCTTTCCTGCCCTGCACCTGGTGGTGCCCTTTCTTCTCTGGTAAAAGGCCGGAGCCGGAATGGAAAGGAATGAAAGTGTGTATTTTAACCTCCTCCCTCCCCGGTTAAGGATCTTGAGATCTAGTTGCCTGAATATCAGACGTGTAGTGTGGGGTGAGGGATTCCTTAGTGGCACGGAGCCTCCGCGCTCAGGGAAGATGAGTAGGTGCACGCCCGAAATAAGGGGAAGTGCTCGCTGAAATTGGCACGAAGCAGCATAATGGGACAGGAGGGATTTCTTGCGCTGGGGTCCCGTTCCTATTCTGAGCTGATTAACGTGGACAGCCACAAGAACTCTGTTTGGAAAGGAGAAAGGGAGAAGCTCCCGGTTTTTAAAAATTCACAGTTAGGTCTAAAACGGGGGCGGGGGGGGAGCAGCTTAGCTGGTCACAGGTTGTATTGGCAGGACACGTTAGTATATTTGGTTGTTTCACGATAGGGCGCATTGTGTGAACCTCCAAAATATTGAGTTAAATAGGTAATGTGAATCCAGATAGTGAACCTTTAGTATAAGAATAAAATGTTATTTTAGAGGCCATGGTCATATTTAATGTAAGAAAAGTTCTGCTGGGTACGTTTAGAGGTCAAGTCAGCAAATTTTTAGTTTTGTGCTTGCAGTTTAAAATGCTCTGAGAACTTTAATTAAATGGAGGGGTGGAATAGTTCTGCTGGATACAATTAGAGACCAGTCAGCACACTTTAGTTTTGTGCTTTTAATGCAGACTGCCTTGAGAACTTATTTTAATTAATAAGGGAAGCCTATTTAAAAAATCAACATCCTGTTTTGGATATTCAAGTACAGTACTGTGCTTCCAAGAAATGGCCAAGGAAGACATGGAACGATAAACTCTCCTGGTTTTTTGTTTTCATCCAGCAGCTAATACTCATTACAGTGCCTTGCCGCTTCTGAATACCGAATGAAGCTCTGTTTAATGGATATTGATCTGCTAATAGTTACAGATAAACCTATCCTATATAAATGCAGCTAACTTTCTTTTACATTTTTTCAAAGCAAACAGCCATTACTTTTTGTGAGTTCTCCGAGTACTGTCCTAAATATTGGCTTTCAATACTGTATTGTAAACAAAAGCTGCCCATTAAGAATCTAATAGACTGCAATGAAATAAGATTTTTTTGGTGTCTTCTGGAGTGAAGGATGAATTTGCATGATTATGAAAAACTAAATGGAGGATGATGTTTACAATTGTACATTTGGGGGAAGGGGTAGAATGAAAGAAGCTTCATTTTTAAATTATAACTTAAACTGAAAAAGAATTGCAAACTGCAGAACAAAATATGGTAATCTAAAATGTTGGTGTGAAAAATTAAGTTAGGAGATGTATCGACAGTTGAGCATGGGTAGAATCCAATAAATCTGATGAAATACCAATGCAGTTTGAATGTTTGGAGTTTTAACTAGTTTTTCAAGCTCCTGTGTTAATTGAAATCATACTTCTTTTAACAGGTTGAACTACTAGTACTAATTAGCTTGTGAGACTGGAGGGTAGAGGAAAAGAGGGGTAAATAATTCTAATGAAATGGGTGATTAGGTAATTAGGAGTTGGCACTTTATTGAAAAAGAGTGAAGAGTTGAGGTTCAGTCCAGATGGGGCCATTTAATAAAAAAGGTTAGGTTAGACATTTATCTTTGGAATCTGAAACTGGAATCTGAAATTCTACAGTTAATACAGTTTTTCAGTGGGTGTGTCCTTTTGATCCAGATGAGAATGTTCTCAAATGTTTGCATGGCAATTTGTAAACTAATGCTGGGTGTGCTCCTTTTGTAAGGTGATACATAATAAAATCTGGGCAGGTGAAGTATCTATATTCACTAGATGCTAGGAACAAGTTAGAGTTTTCTGTTTTTCCTTATGGCCATTTACTCATTGTTTGGATTTTTGCAGCCACACAGAACAGCCTACTTTATTTTGTAACATAAAGATTTGAATGCTGCTAGTTTAGGGAGAATTTGGAAATGTGTATTTACCTACATAACTATCACTCTAATCCCTTTGATAAGAAACATGTGAATATTAACAGAAAAATACTAGTAAACAGAGATAATAGATTTTTTTAAAAAAAAAATCTATTAGTAAGCAGAGTAAAAATACTAGTAAACATACTAACACCATTCACGATGCATCACCCTATCATGATACCCTTGCTTCAATTTCACTGGAACACAGATTCATACATTTCTTGATATATTTCCTTTTGTTAAGCTACATATGGGAGGAATTTTTTTTTTCATATATTAAGAATCATATCTTCCTTGTGGTGAGCGTGAATGTTCCTTGAGAGCAAATGCGCATTGTCACATGGGGTATAACTCAATCTTTTGGTACAGGTTACTCTGTAGGAGTTTAGAAAGAAGTCCTTGGTGCAAACTTCAAGCTGGAAGTGGTAGTAAAGTGGATAGCATGTATCTTCGTTATGGACATTATTGAAAGTCATGTTTATCGTACTTTCTCTAAATTTTGAAAATATTTTCTCATTTTTTAAAATAATTGTTTAAATGCTTTTGCAAAGGAGGCTAGTTGTGTTTATTTCCAAATGGCCTCTGTAGGGTAATGAGAAAACAGCTTCCAGACTTATAGCTGGTCCATTAACAATTTTTGTTCTGCATCTCACATCCTAAATATAGCATTGCCAGCTATACAACCTCAATCAATTAGTGCAGAGTTTTAAAAATAAAGCTATTGAAGAATTGCATTTGTTAATTTAAAATGGGCATTTCCCTGTTATATCAGGATTCCTGCTGCAAAACAGCTGTGCATAGTAAAAAGTACCATTGTCTTGATTCATGTGTGAAGTAATAGATTAAATATTTAAGCCTGTATTATTAGGTTGTAATCCTATGGCCCCTTGGAAAATGTCTCAGGCTGTTAAATATATCAAAATTTCTCCCTTTGACCTTGAAAAGAAGACTCTAACCTTGGAGAGGAAAATTCAGTCCTTTTTCTGCAATCCTTCCAGTCTGGAAAAACAATTAGATACAAATGAAAATAAATATGTCCCAGTAATAATTGTTGAGCACTATGTTCACATCCACCAGAGAATAAACCCATCTATTTAAAGTAGAATATAAACACACAGTACACAATTGATGTGTTGAATTAATACTTTGTCTTGGAGTACAGAAAACAATACTTTAGAAGAAAATACCATGATCCTTTTATTTGGTCAGCACGTTTTTTAGGCTGAGCTCATACTATAGTGTTACGAATGTTAGTTACAATATATTATGAGAACAGTAAAGAACTTTCTTAAAACCAGATCACGTATAGTCGATAAATAGCAGCTCTCTTGTAAAGGTTGAACTATTTCATACAACAAGTCCAGCAGGCTCACCAAGTTTACACTGGCAGTCTTGAATTCTTTGCACAACCATGATAAGTATTCAGAGAATGTTTGAAGCAAAGGCCCTGTTCATAACTTTCTTATTACAATAAGCAGCACAATTTCAGCCAAGCCATTGGATTGGTTTTACAAATGAAAACCAGAGCTGCTTGATCTCCCTGATTGCTCTTGATTTAATCACCTTTACATTTGCAATTGATTGAATATAATGCCATAATGTAATTTAAATCAGTTGGTATCTTTTCCTTTGAAAATTGTATGGTTTTACAGAAACAACTTTGTACCAAGGGGGTGAGTTCTGGCATAGAGTAGTACTTTTCCCTATAGGATGGCGCATACAACCATGCACAAGAAACATAACTTAAGTTTTGAACTAAGGAATATCCTACTTAGAGTCATATCTCTTAGATGACATAGTTGAAGAATAGTTCCACCATCTCATCTGCTGTTCAGTGGAAGGTAGGAAAGAATGTGGAAAATCAGTTGCCTGATACCTGGTACTTTCATTCTTTTCCTCTGTTTCGTTCTTTTCCCAGGCTTGGTATGTAAACTTTTAATGCATGCAATTTTCTTAAAATATTATGGAAATGCTTCAAATTAAAGGAGAAATTGCATGAATAAATAGTTTCCTCTTTCTGCTTCAGAAATCTTTCTGGTAATAACTTTCTTCTTTTCTTTCTTTCTAGTCATGCTATATCCTATGCTGTATCCAGTTCCATTCAAGACTATACTACAGTGCTTGTCTTGGTTCATGTTGTACCTGTGAGGGAACAAAAAGGTTAGAAAAGCCAAGATGGATGGCTTGCATCTTTGCAGTTGCAAAGAATGAATTGCAGTTCATTCTCTCCCATATATTTCCTTATGCCTGTCAATACTTTTTGTATTTAGGCGATTACCATTATATTAGAATATTATGGAGAGAGATTTGGGAAACAGCCAAATCCTTATGGTGTTCTTATACTATTGCAACTTAAAATTACAAAACTGTTGCATAATTAGAAATCCACCAACAGAATAAGTGGAACTAGAAAAAAGTTTGAAGATTCTATTAGAAGCAAAATCTTTCTCCAGTTATTTTCCTGTATCTTAGGCTTTATGAGTGAAAATGCTCAGTTCTCTTAGCAGCAGATAAATCTACCTCATCAGTTTAAATAAGGTTCATGCTGGTTTAATTCTCCTTTCTATCCACTATAAAAAAAGAAACTTGGATGCATTGTACTTTTATAAGCGTGTTTAAAATTTATAGAATCACGGTCCTCTTTTGCTTAACATTTTGCAAATCTCCTTAAATGGGAACTACAAAACTAATTATTGTCTGTGGACATATAAATAAATAACATGATGCACTTAAATTCACAGTAAATCAATATGAACATCTTTTGGGGAGTAGTGAGCAGCATTTTTCAAGACTGTCTTTGAAGAATGCCTGATAGACTAGAACTACCCTCCCTTGCCTAGATATGTAAACATAGAGGCCCTTTCTTCTGCTCTTGTTACACTATTTAAAAAAATAGCGCTATCTGTAACTGTTAAGTATTTTTGAGAATAATGCAATACATTGTAAGAATAAATTTTGTGTGAGAATGTTTTCATACAGAGTTTTTTGTTTTGTCCCTTCTTACATTATCTTTTGCTGGGTCAATATTACTAGGGTCTATCATTCCACGCCCATAGAAAATTTGATTCTTCTTTTACTTGAGCTAAAACACTGCAAGAAGTGTGTTGGAATTAGTTTCTTCATGTCCCTAATTTCTGAATTCATTTTCATGTCTGCAGATGGTACAAGCTTCACTCCAAACCAGGGAAGAAGGAAAAAGAGCGGGGTGAGATTGAGGTGGATATCCAGTTCATGAGGAGCAACATGACAGCCAGCATGTTTGATCTATCCATGAAGGATAAGTCTCGGACTCCCTTTGGCAAACTGAAAGACAAAATAAAAGGGAAACGGGGCAATGGATTGTCAGACACAGCCTCAGCAATTATTCCTAGCATTACTCACTCTCCAGCTGACAGTGAAGAAGAGTCAAATGACAAAGAGAAGAAGAAATCAAAGTTCAAGACACTGTTCTCTAAGCCTGGTTTGCATAAAAACAATATTTCTCAGTCCATGTCTGTGCTACCTACTCTCCAGCCTGTTTCAGAGAGAGTTCGACTTCGGCCCACTGACTTTCAGTCGCAGTGGAGCGATGATGAAGATGATACTTTGACGCCAGTCTCTGAGAGTGAGTAACCTCTTTATTAAAAGAAGCAGTTTCATAAACTCTTCTGAGGCTGTCCAACTTTGAGACAACATATTTTCTTTTATGATTGAGTTCTCCCTGTCTTTGAGACAAACGCTTAGAAACTGGAGAAAATAAACAGCTATCATGATGGTCTGTAGTACATGCCATTGGTTAGTTTAAGTCTGCTTTAAATAATCCCAAACCATAAATGTATTAACTGTTGCTAAAAACCCTGTTTGCATGGATATGTATTTTCAGAAATAACGGGACTTGTAGTTACAGAATTCTGATAGTAATTTCACTTTTTCTTTTCAGAGCCCTCTACAAACAGAACCGACAATAATGTGCTTTATCCCCCTTCTGTCATGTCCCACAAGAGAACTGGTAGTGGAGACTCCAAGCAATTAAACCAAATCGCTGCTGCCAGTGCCAGGAGGGACATGCATTCTTTATTTGGCCTCAAATCCAAAAATGACCCAGTTTCTAGGTCCAATCTGTGTATCAACGGCAGCCACGTTTACATGGAAGAAAGTGAATCAAGGGGTGATACCATTTCAAAAGAAGGCACTCCATCTTCTCCTCAGGCATCCCAGCGAAAACGTCTCTTTCTGTCTCAGGAGAACTTGTCTTTTGAACCAGACAAGGAACTTGAAAACCCTGGAAGGTTGCCCCTTGATAAAGTGACATCTGGGTCATCTTCACTGGAATCCTTTAAAGCCATGACTCTGCCTTCGTACAAACTGCTTGCTGGTGGGGATTCAGTAGAAAACAACACTCCATTGGTTTCAGACACTCCAAAAGAAACCAAGGAGACCAAAAAACACGAGAACAAGAAGTCTGGCTTGCTGTCTCTAGTGACAGGGAAGAAAGACACAAAAATCAGTGAGGAAATGGGGAACACTGAAACTTTTCCCAAGGTGAAGGAAGTGAAGCGTAATGAAAAAGAATTGGCAAGAAAGGAGACAAGCCCTTTTGAGGTCCCTGTGGATGGCAAAAGGGGTCATGGCCCAGCTAAGAGTAATCCTACAGATGCTGTGATTGCAAAGACATCAACAAATCCTTTCAGTGAAAATATTGCGGAAGGAGAGAAACCAGAAAAAAATGCAGCTTCTGTGAAACCTTCTCAGACGAAACCTGTCAAACCCAGGTTAGTAAGGAGAGATGCTTAATTTTTTTTTCTGCTATTGTAAAGATGATATCATCATTGTCATAATATTGTTATGGCTGCCCGTTTTAGAAAACTGGATGGCTTAATAACATTGGAATATACAATGAAAAAGGTTAAAAACATAATAGCAAAACAGCCCAGACCAAAAAGCAGCCATAACAGACAAACATGCAAGGGGTTCCACAAACACACTAACCTCAGGTTTGGGAACTGAACCAGGTCTTAAGGGCCTTCCAGAACCCCAGGAGAGGGGGTGCCATATATATTTTGCATGGGGTGGGGGGATGCTGTTTCAGAGGTCAGGGATGTACTAGCATGTAAGGCATTTAGAAAAAGGAAAAATCTTTTGCCTGGGGCAGGTATAAATTTCTTTCAGGGTGTCTCTGATCTGGGTATTAGCTGTTGGATCATTCTGCAGGTGACATATATGGCTTTCTATCTTCTTGAAAAAGGAGAGTAATGCCCTTGCATGCTACCTTTCCTTGAAGGAGAAGAAGCAAAATAGCTGCTATGCTTCCCTTCAAAGCAGAAGGGTGCCTCTTAGAGGTTCTACAGCTGAAACATGAAGGGAAGTGGAACAACAAAACAGGCATTCATTCTCTTACTTGGCCGTCTAGTCAGAAAACAGTTGAGGGTGGTTTTGCATTTTTTGTGTCACACTTATTATGGAAGAAGAGGAAGGACAGAGGCTTAATTTAGGCTGCCCCAAGAGAATGGAGTGTATGAACTGCTTCAGTCTCCTGGGTTGGAGTGGTAAGCAGTTGGGAGAAGAAGGTAACGGAATATGCTTAAGTTCGGCCTTTGTAGCAGTCTGATAAAGTGTCCCAATAGTTTATATTATTTAAGAGTGCCTGAATTAAAGCTTTTAGTTCTAAATTTGAGAGGGAGAGAAAAGAATTATATCACTGCTTCACTGGAAAAAAAATGCTGCCAATTCTAATGCAGTTACCTTTCCTGCCTCTTCCTTGTCATCTTACATGGTGTCTGTTGGAGGGGGGCACAGGTCTGAGAGGAGCACAAAGCGGGAAAGGCTTGGAGGAATTATTTGAGAAGAAAACTTGGGCTGTTTTGTATTGTATAATCTGATTAGATTTGTAAAGTAGTTCATATGTCCGTAACTAAATGTTAAAATAATCAGAATATGTCAGTATAGATGCTGAGGAATATTGATAGTGACTCAGGTTCATCGTTTTATGTTGGTGATATATATTACTCATGTGATAACTGTCTTGTAACTTTGACTTTATACTGAGTATATATTGAGACAGAGAAGTGTTGCTTTTGTAAGGAAAGTGTGACTATCTGTACTTTCCTTTCTAACTTTTTTGTCTTTGCTGCTTTATATATTTGACAGCTTTGCTCCTCATGCAGTCTATTTCCTCAGCTGAAATTAACAAAAAGTAATACTTTGGGAACAGATTTTCTAAAATACAGTTTGCTTTTCCATTTACTGTATTAAATAAATATTAAAACATAAAGGACTATGCTTGGGGGTTTTGTGAAAGCCCTATGTCCCTCCCTATTACTAACATGCAGCAGCTTTTCTAAACTTTTATCTAAAATGTGTCTGCTTGTCTCAAGTTGCATCTGCAACTGACATGCAGGTTTTATTTTGTCCTTCTTACAGACTGGGCATGTCTTCAGAGGATGAAACCAAAGCCACCTTTTTTCCTCCTGTACCTCTTCCTCCTACTTGCTATCCTTCAAATAATGAAAATAATCCTTTTACTTCCAAATATGATACAGAACAGAAAACTCAGGAAACTGATAGGCTTGATAGTCCAAAAAATGTTTCTGTATATCCTGGTAATAATCCATTCACTACAAAATGGATGCAGGATTCCAGAGATTTAGAATGCTCTGCAGTTTCTGTCTGCCTTCCTCATACTTCTGGCAGTGAAAATAATCCCTTCACTCCTAAGTGGGGACAAGAAACTCAGACACCGGAGACAGAAATCCCTTCCTTATGTTCTCTACGTTCTCCTGCAGCTTCTATTACTGAAACTCATACTATTCCTTCTCAGCTTTCTAATGTTGATGATCCTTCTGAAGTTGAAGTAGGACAGGATTCTGAAAGAATGAAAAGTCCTCCCCCATCTTTATGTTCTGTATCTTTAGCTGGAAACATTGATAATTCCAAGTACACTGGCAATGTTTCTTCAGAAAAGTTTCAAAATGAAAGCTTAACTAATCAAACAGATATTATATCCAACTTTTCTGGTTCTCTATCTGAGAGTACTCCTCCACAGTCTTATGACCTAGTTAGAGTGAACCAAAAAGTTCCAAATGATGACAAAATGCATATAGTACCACCTTTTAAAGAAAATAATGGGATGAAGAAGCTGATAGCCTTTGCCCTTGATGAACTGAAAGATAATGTAATAAGCCATACTGACAGTACAGATGAAGATCCATTTGAGGTAAATGAAAATAAAGAAGTAAATTCAATTGAAAAGAATAGCAGCCAGATAATTGAAGTAAACATAGACAATAGCTGTGTCTCTAAACCTGATGAAGAAGACATAAATTCTGTTCATAAGAGTGGGAACCCCTTAGAGAAGGAAATTGAATCTGGCTGCTTATCTAAAATAGAGCCACCGGTACCAACTGCAAGAGTTCTCATTCCTCTGCCTGTGGAAACCAACTTGTCAGGTACTGAACTAAGTGACAAAACACTCTCTGTGCCACCAAAACCAGCACCAAGAAGTGGTTTGAAAGTGAAAAAAGGTACATATCTTCCTCTGACTGATGAATCAAAAAGAGAAGATGTGTCAAGCTGTCCATCTGTTCTTAAAGAGATTTCTTCAGACGGTTCAATCTTTAGTGAAAAGCTAAGCCATGTTTGCTCATTAACTTCAGAAATGGTTGTCCTTCCTCATGGAGATGATGGTAGTAACATGGATCCATCTCAAAGTGTTAATGACTACTCTAATCACATAATGAGAACACCACCTGGGATTTCAGCTGCTGGAGAGCTGAATGTAAAACCAACTGCTCTTCCTATTATTCCAGAAGTAGCTTCAGATGATGAGCAATTAGGTGACTATCAGCAGAATCCTGAAAATATGACAGTATGTGAAGACTTACCAAGAAATGGAGATGATTTTATGAACTTGTGGTCTTCTGTTGAGAGGAGAGATCTGACATCAACTAAGAAAGCTATTGGAGAGACTATATCAGGTCTCATGCAAATCAGTAATCTTGGTGATGCATCTAACATGTTGAAGGATCCAACCAACACTGTGTTGGATGCAGTAGTATATCAAAACCCAAGTCATAACCTTACAGGCATGGGACAAAAGAGTGGAGATTGCTCTAAGAAAAATAGGCAGAATGATTGTCCTGAGTCTTCTGTTGAACCTGTTTCTCTTTCCTCTCTGTCTGATTCTTCTCAGTCTTGCTCTGTTAGCTCTTTCCAGTCTGATTCCCTTGGCTTTAATAAAGCAGAATCTCCAATAAAAGCTACAGCAGAAGGATTGGATGCCAAAGTGGAAAGCTCTGGCAAGAAGAAGCTCCTTCAGGCACGGGTTTCACCCTCTGAAACACATCCCAATCCTGGTGGAAATTCTGCCAAGCTCAGGTGAGAGGACAAGCAAGATGGGAGTGGGAGGTCCAATATGAAAAGCATTAGCTGCTGTTGCACCTTTGATATCGCTCTTTGGTGGGAAGGGGAAAATGCTAACTTCCATCTGTCTTTAATAAATGGAATGGGGAAATAACCAAGTCATGGTGATATACTCAGTGCAAGGCTAGAGCTTGACATATCCAGGTTTACTTCCACTGTGTTGTCATGTATCTCTCAACCTACCTAATTTATTGTGAAGATAAAATAGTGGTAGGAAAAATCCCATACTTTGGTCTAAAATCCTAGGGAGAAGGACAGAATGTAAATATATTAAATAAACCTTTAGTTTTTTATTTGAGCATTTTATTTAATACACTATTTCAACTTGTAGTTCCATATGGAGATGCAAGCCAATAAATGTGTTTCTTAAATTTGAAGGTGAAAGGTAAGAGGTAAGGGGAAAAAAATGACTTCACAGAATTAATGTGCGCAGTGCTCTTTGTTACATCCAGTAGTAGACCTGTATGTTGTTCATTGTAAATGTTACATCTCTTTTAGACTTCATCCTGTGAAGCCAATGAATGCTACAATAAACCAACCATCTGCAAAAACCTTGAGCATAAATACTAAGATCCTGGATAATCAAACTGAAATCAATCTAAAGGTATTTAAGGCACAATAACTTTAAATGTATGGGGAATTTCTGGTTCTCTAATTTCTATTAATCCTCACCATAGGATTAATGAAAATTGAATAATAGAAGGAGATACAGGTTGCCATTTTCTGTTTTAAAGCACAGTGTAATAGTTTGTGGCTGTGGTTAAAATGTGTGCTCCTTGTACTTTATGTTTTTAACTACTTTGTTTTTTTATGAAAACAATAGTTGAAGGACAGTGTATTCTAAAACGTGGATGACTGGGGAATGTATGAATTGCATATGTTGAAAACTTGAAACTCTTCTAAAAGTTTTTGACATAAGAGATTTTGGTATTGGAATATGCATGGTTTACTGATTATGTGTATGAAGTTTGTAGTAGTTTGATTTTACGCAGTATTTAGAACTTGGTTTTCTCAACTGAGACAATTGCAATTGATTTACATGTGATGTATTATGAAGATCGCCTTGACCCTTGCTTCTCATTGTTCGGGCAGAAAGAATCAGAGGTAGGCTTAGAAAAGCTTAAAATTTTCATCTCCTTAAATGTATTTACTTGGTAATGCTGCAATGTTGTATTTTCATGATTTTTTTTTTAAAGAGTAGCTGCTTTTGACCATTACCGAAGCATTCTTGGAGTGCATGATCAATCTGTGAAGCTAAAAATCTGTGGGCTACTTTCTAATTTGAGTCTGTTCATGACAACTCTTTCTACTGAAATGACTTTTTTTTTTTCTCTTTTTCTTCCCAAAAGAAATATCACCCTTCAGATCCTGCTTATGCTTATGCTCAGTTAACTCATGATGAACTGATCCAGCTGGTCTTGAAACAGAAAGATACTCTTGCAAAACGAGATCTCCAGGTACGAGAACTGGAAGACTATATAGATAACTTGCTTGTTAGAGTCATGGAAGAAACCCCCAACATTCTTCGAATTCAAGTCCACCCCAATAAGAAAGCTGGAAAGATGTAAAATGGCAACTCACCCTGGATGAGGACTTTTCTACTCAAATTTAGGGAGTAGAGAATGTGGAACGAAATAACTGTTGCTTCTACCAAAACAAAGGTTATTTAAGTCTTTGGGTAAAATTGGTTTTCTGGTTAGATAATCCAAAATGACAATCTTTCTTCAGATCCTTACACCCTTCCAATACAATGCACATGATTTGCTGCTTTGCTAAGATTAAAAGTATGAGATTATGAAACTTCAAGAGAGCTATGTGAACCAGTTTTCTACTGTGAATAATACTGTAACTGGAGCATTTATACAGAATTGTATGTAAAGTTGAAAAACATTTCCCACCATTTTCAAAGCCACAGACCTCTGTGGGTAATATTAAGTTTTCGTGCAATATATGCAATCTTATCCTAAGTAATCTCACGCTAATTCACTGAAGACATTGGAATATCATCAAGTCCCTCATTTTGATTAATTTGCTGGAAAATGAATATATTATTGGAAAACTGGATGCCTTTGAAATCATCACTGATTTTCACAAGTCCTCACAAATTATTAGTTGGGCTTTTGCTGTAGATGTTTACAATGGATTGTGTACTGAGCTGCTTGCATTATTCATTGGGGAACCATAGGTAAAAATTGCATAGTAACGGCTGGTGAACAAACACTGCTTGCTTGTATTGTCTACATTGAAATGGTGGGTGAATAAGAACATGCAAAATTCTGCAGTTCAGCAGTGGGTTTTATGATCTCTAATTGTGACTAGTTTGGGGTGTACTGTATTTTATCTGGATTGGGACAAACTGGTAATAGCACCAAAGCTAGTTGCTCAGTTGTAGGTGATGACTTTTAAATAGCAGAGATAGGTAATCTTGGGCTCTAAGAGAACTGTGAGACAAAACTCCTGGAGGAGTACTAGGTTGCCTATCCCTCTGTGATTTTAGGAATGTGGATGGAACTGAAACGTTCCCATCTCCAGACACTTTAGCAGTTTGAAAGTACATATTCACACAATTCTTAATTGGCCTTGAATACTGACTGAGCTTGCTTTTTAGTAACCTCTCCTTTGTTCAGAAATTGGTGCGTGTTTCTTCCTTCCCTCTCATTCAGTAAAGTGTTCCCAGAATGGCTCCCTATTTGTGAACCTAGACAAAAATTCCTCTAACGAAGTTCTTTTCAGAAAATCTTCTGAGAAGGTTAAGTCATTTTAGAATAACAATCTACTTAGGCTAGTACATTTACTTTTGTCAGGAAGGGTCAGACAGTTTTTTGAGTTCCAGAACAATTTCCTACAGTCTCTTTCTCCAGCTCTTCCAGGTTCTGTATTCCCTCCCTTCCCATGCTTCAGAGATATAATTGCTTGTGATGGTTATTATGGGTGAAACTCCTCTCAAAATTGTAGATTTTTAGAATCTGCAACTGATGAGCAAGCAGTTAGAAATCTTTAAGGTACTTTTTTGTTAAGTGAAGGAAAGGCATTCTTTCTCATCAGAGGTCACTGCAAATGTATCTGCAGTTATTTAACTCATTTCCCCGCCCCCCCCTTTTCTATGCAGTGAAAAGATTTAAACTTTGCTCCTTTCCTTTTCAGGAATTGCTGAGCAAAGTCTTTTAGCTCTTATAATTCCAAGCATTTATTTGCTGTGGCTCAGAGCTGTATATGCAGTATTGTTAGTCAATTCAGATTTTCCTTTCTCCTTAAGAATATCTGTCTTAAGTTTGACAAGGACAAACTTGAAAATCTGATAAGTGCTCAAATCTGAGTATATTCATTGATATTTAAGTTTCCTTTTATTTGGTCAAGTAAACTAAACAGGAAAATACTGATGTGAGAGAGTCTGTGGGCTTGTTTTCAACATGCTCCCCAGTGGCAGTTTTTTACACTGAGGCATGCTTTCTGGAAATCTAGAAGCATGGTTGGCGCCTGGCCGTGCTATTGTGCTGGTGCTCTTGTGTTCCTGATGTAAAGGTTTTGAATTGTCAGCTTTTCCTCAGTTAACTACTCTTTTCCCCAGAAGAGAAATGTAGCCTGATCTATTTTTTGCAATATTTACGAGAATACATATGAGGTCTACATTATCTTTCCACAATAAATAGCCTATATGGTTTCTGATAAAGAGTAATTGGGAACATTCATGCTCTCAGCATACATGGAAGGTTGTTATAAAACAGAATAGGCTTCCTTTTTCCCGTGAAAATAACTGTGTGGTAAAGTGGGAAGAATAAATACAGTACTTTTAAATCTTGCTGACTTTTTAAATGGGAAGGTTAAAGAGGTTTTTAATTTTAAAACAGAAATAATAGGTAAAGTGGTCTTGAACTATGGGTGAATTGTGCCTTGAGGGAAAGAAGTCCAGATCCAGTAAGATTTTATTTTGCATCTAGTGGGAAAGCTGCATTTTGTGTGTTTATTTTAAAACTTACCCTAAACTAGGCATCTCCCTTTTTATGATTTACAACAAATCCATTTTAATGTTATTACAGGTTAATTGGATGAGATCAGCCATTATACTGCTGCAAACTAAGGTTTAATTATAAAATCTATCTTTACATTCTGTCTTAGAAGACAGAAGCTACATGTAGAGATTAGCAAGGTACTTTGCAGAATTACGAAAGTCTATGCATATTTGTATTCTAGCCACACAAATCTGCTACTTTTCAAAAATTGTTAGCAGTTATAGCTAGCCAATAAAATGCAGACACCTGCAGCAATCTAAGTGTTGTTTGGAGGCATCAAAGAATTAACTTAATCATTTTTATTATAGCTACTGTTTATTATCTTCCTATGCACTTTAATGAGGGATATGGTTGGCACTGAACAATTCTTCAGCCCTCTCATTGTACTTAGTCACAACACTGGATTACAGTATAAGTTTGTCAGCTAAATTTACTAAATAGTGCAGAGTTAATTGCTCTTGGCACTATATAATCTGGCAATCACCAAAGAACAGGATAGCTTAGGTGGCTACTGTACTCGTGTTTTGAGAAGAGGTGTAGTTTGTATGACTTGTATTACCAGTGCATTCATAACCTAATTACATATTTTAAGGTTTAGTACGAAATGAGTAATATATTTGAATGTCTGGTTCTGAGGGAGGAGTAGACCATACTCTCTGTTATTGCTATAAACTGAGTGTGAAACTTGTTGAATAGACTTGTCTCTCTCTCCTATACAGTATAGTTCTAATTCTGTCAGTGAACTTAACTGAGGGTGCCTTTTTGCCTCAAGTGTTTCGTAGAGTTAGAACAAACAATTCAGGCTTTTGCAAGGAAACGAATAGTAGCCTGCCATACTGAAGGCAGGATTTCATTGTGAAATTGCTGGTACTGAAATGTGTAACAATACATATTTGCAGGTAAAAGAAAAAAAAAAGGTTTGGGTGTTTTTGAAGTCTGGCTATTTCCTTCTGCTGGTTGAATCGCAATGCTGTATGCCTGCTGTTTATGAAAAGACATACTGGAATTTGTATGTCTGCTTCCGAAACATTAAATAGCTGCTTTAACACCATACCTCCTACAAATAAATTTCTGAATAGATTGGAATTGTATTTTAAACATGTCTGCTAATAAAATGGCAGGTAGCAAAACAAAACAAAAAAATCTTGCGCTGGACAAATTTTGAGCAGATTGAGAAAATCAAATTTAGGATTCTTAAACTTTTAATTTTAATATAAGTTCGAGCAAACTAGTATGGTTGTTGGCCATTCTTGCTGAAAATTATGAGAATTGCCATCTCAGTTAGGAACATGCTAAACATTCCAACCTGAAACAGGCCGTCTGCAGCCCCAATAATTGGAAAGGCCCATTTCATGTTTGGTATGTTCCATAATAACCTTTTGTTCAAGGTTGATCTCAACATATACAAAGAGCACTAAATTTGGGAATATAGTTTTAAGTCATAACTATATGTACTTACAAGTTTTAAGTGGGGCAGTTTCACATATTGTAACATACATAGAAGGAGCTATACTTGGGCCCGCTTGTGCCAGCTTTGCCTTTGTACGAAGGTCTGATTCATTATATATCACTCAATACCTAGTAATGATAGTGCCTTAAAATCAGTATTTTACTGAACAGTTTAAATACAATCTGTTCACTTAAATTTTTGAGTTTTAGTAAAATGGTTACACAATGAAGTTTGTCTCCCTCTGTATATTTAACATAGAAGGATTTGAATGTATGTTTCTGCTTTGTTACACTTGGTACATTACCTGAAGGTTTTTATACAAAGACCTTCAGCCTTATGAAATGTTAAAATAAAGTTATTTAAAGTTAAACAGATATCTGTGCTTTGTTATATATTTTATGCATTCATAGACCCAAGAATGAACAAACATTTGACTGGTGAATAACTGCTTAGAAGAAGGCTTGTGCCCAATCCATAGTTTAAGCATAACTTTCTTCTTATGACTGATATGATTGTTTATGATGAGAAGATTGGTGAAGGATATAAAGGTGATAAGAAGTTTGGGAGGGAGGAATGATTATTTCATAGTATCAAGGTCTTGGGATAAAATGAACATGGAAAAGGAAAGAAGTGAACAAACGACTGAAAAAAGACTGCAGGAAGAGAAAGTAGGTATGAAAAAATACTAGAAAATCTGTCTGGGAATGATAGTGAAGAGTGAAATGAAATGAATGTTAAAAATGTTGATATTCATGAAAAAGTAATGAAAAAATTGCAAGTGCTGTTAAGAATGTTGAATAGCAAGACTGCAAGTGTAAATGGAATAACTGGAGAAATGGAAGAATGTTACTGCTGTTCTATACAGTAATAGGAGATGGATAGGGTAGCAAATGTGAATGTGAAAACTACAAGACAATTTGTTATATCTGCCTAGCAAGGCATTAGGCAGATTTCTGATTGAAAGTGAGCAAAATTGAGCAGCGTGGGACAGGCAGGGGTGTTCAGACCGGATTTATGCTGCATGAGAGGTCACTGAGAAAAGTATGAAACTGAGAAAGTGAGTTAATTAGTTTTTAAAGAAATTGTATAATAGGCTTGATTTATGGAATGTTCTATACAAATATGGAGTTGAAGGCAGTTTTATGAATGTGATAAGATGAACATATGAGGGAGGCAGAGCATGTGTGAACGTAAATGGAATGCTTAACTAATGGTTCATCACTGAGCAGGGAGTAAGATGTACTATGTCTTTCATTTTCAATGCACTTATGAATCTATAATAAAAGTTTGTGGGGATGTTAAGAGTTTTGATGATCGGGAGCATGAATGTCTCTACTATATTCTGATGTTTTAAGACACAAATGCTGATAGAAAGGTGAGTGGGTTCTATATTTACTATTTCTTAAGCCTTTTCTGCGTTTTGTATAACGTTTCTTGCCCTGAAAGGGAATGGTGTGATGACATGTATATATTTATCAAAATAGGAATGAAGTTTTTAGGTCATGGTTATTGATTTTAATAGGATGTTAATTCAACCTAATTGGCATCAAGTCCTATATTTCATACCAATATTTCAATAACCAATGACTCTTCTGTTATTCACACTACAAACCCAATATAGAAATTGTAGAAAACAAGATTATGGATGTAGATGATCAAAATCATCCTGGCTTGATGATATTGAGAACATTTCTTTTTCAACCTTCCCTGCTTTTAGAGTATCCAATGAGAGTGAAACTTCAGGCTATTTTACATGCATATTTCAACTTCTATTAATTATTCTCATAATCTACTGTTACTCTCATAATCTACCGTTATGGAACAGTCAGTTCTGAAGAAAGTCTTAAAGATTTTAACATTTTTTTTTTAAATTGGGGTCTTTACTGTTCCAACAATTTGACAACAGGGCGCATTCTAAATGATTGCATGAAAAGTAATTCCAATCAAAAACTTGTAGTTAAACTCTGACAACATCCTGATAAATACTTTTTTAAAAAAAACCTGGCATCACTGTCTCAGAAAGTTGGCCCTCTGCTGTAAAACATCCCTGCTAGAATAGGCTGATCTCAATTTGGAAATAATTGTAATGCTAAGTCACTGCACAGGAAGAAACTGAATTATCTGACTGAACAGTATTGCCTGAATTACAGCGGAAGTATTTATTTTAATGCTATGACACTATTTAATAAACATTTCAGATGATCGTTTTCTTTTCCAACGGTAGCAACATTGTTGCTTCATATTTGCAACTTTTAAAATATCCGGTTGAACTGTAGTTTATGTTCTGGAGGGTGACATATACATTTTAAAATAAACTAAGCATTTGTTGTGAATGACATGGGCTTGAGTGCATTAAGGCACAAGATGATCCTTCAGTTGTTGCTTGTATACAACTTCGGGTCCTTTCCCTCTCCAGTCTTGTCCATATTATAGCAAAGTTTGGGGAAGTAAATGTACGCTGCCCAAATCAGATTGATTGATTTATTGTTAAATGTCTGTGTGACCAGAAGTTGGTGCATTAATCTTTCATATATTTCTAGACTCTACTATTAAGGTGATACTATGCACTATTAAGAGAGCCAGTTTGGTGTAGTGGTTATGGCAGTGTTTCTCAACCTTGGCAACTTTAAGATGTGTGGACTTCAACTTCCAGAATTCCCCCCCCCCGCCCAGCGGACGGGGGGGGTTTTTGGGGGGGGGTATGCCACCACTAAATCTTGGCCAGAGGGGGGAGACATAGT